CAAGAACAATAACACTTAACCAACAAATATTGTGACCCATTCATTTAAATCATAATTTATCACTGTCAATAACATAAAAAACAAACAAAAAAAAACATCAAAATCTGCTTTAAGACGTTCAGTTTTACATTAACTGACCATTACAGCTTGAACAAAAGATATAATTGATTCACATAGGCTAACACATCTGAATTTAAGTGCATAGTAATATATTTCTCTTGGATAATTTAAAGAGAATAGTAAACAGTCGAGTTTCAATCATTTTTCGTGACTAACTGCATAAACAAGATAAACAATAATATTTTATTAATTAATTAGTTTTTAATTACACATAATCACAGAATTAATACTGTTGAATAAGTATACGCCTGTACAATGATTTTTTCAACATCCACGGTACTTTATAATGTTAAATCAGGAAAAAAACACGTTATGCCATGTTAGCGTTAATGGATTCGTCTACAGAAACTTTCTTTAACGCAAAGTTAGCATACACACAAATTCGTTTCATGTTTCTTTAAAATAATTAAAATAGTTTTCAGTTACTACACACGTTACAATCTAACATTGTGTTAGGGACAGGAACTTTCAGACGTGTTTGTAACTGTTAGCGTTAGCATACATTAGCTCCAGTCGTGTTTCTTAAAGCAAGTTACATTTCGTATCAAACTGTTTTAAATTACTAAACGCTGTTACAACCAAACACCGTGGAAATGTTTTAAGCTCTAAATTCGCTAATTATACAGTACACAAGCAGTAAAAAGCTTACCTTTCTGACCGGAATCCACATGGAATCTTTGAAAAATCAAACTTTTTCTTCTTGTGATCTTCGTGCCATGGTGGTTGACAACCAGCTTGTTGGAGCATTACCGCCACCGTCTGGATTGGAGTTTGGATCATGAGTTTAGTCACGCATGTGTTTATTATGAAACCAACTTCTGCTTTAAAAAAAAAAAAAACAGTCAGCACAGGAGCGTGCTATCTCAAAAATAAGCGAATTTTACATAGTTTTTCTCTAGATGACATGTATAATCTATTTATAAATAATATTGTTTTGTTTGCGTCTAAACATTGAGACCATCCACACTAAATATTCTTTTTTTTTTTTTTTTTTTGCTATCGTACCATGAATATTTTCTCAAATTATCATTAAACGTGGAGCTAACAGATTACTAGATAAAATAAGAACTTAATCGGTTGCCATCAGCCGAGTCCTTGCCAGAAGCGGCCAGGACTCTACAGACAGACTCGGACCGGATATGGTTGACCGGAATCGGGCCAGTGCTTTACAGCCGCATCACAGCCGCATGTGCGCGAGCGAGCTGCGGGCCGCACTCGGCCCGGATAACACTCGCCGATGCCGAGTCGGAGCCGGAGGCGCCGGAGGGCAGCCGAGCTCGGGCCGATTACTGCCTGCTATCTGGGACACCTCACACACATCGGGAAATTCCCCCCGCGCACTTGTTTTGGCAGCGCTGTTTGTTTCTGAAACTATGATCTGAAAGCAGCCACTCACATGACAGCAGGGAAAAGCACAGCCAATCACAATGTTCATATGTGTTTGGGGGCGGCGCGGAGAGAACGTGATTTAACCCTTTCAGCATGTCTAGGTTTATACTGACAGCGTGATGTTTTCAAGTGAATTAAATTATTGGTGGGGACATTTCAGAAGTTGGTGAATATTGGTGGGGACACGAAATCTACCCCTAAATCTACGCTCCTGAGTGGGAATGAAAAGGAAAGCATTGCGCCAGCTGGTAGTATTGCTGTCATTTACAACAGATGAGGAACAACAACAGATGAAAGTGCTGTTTAAGTGAACTGGTTTATTATAAACAAGCTGTGTGTTTTTAAATGTTTATGGAAAAATAAAGTTTCACATTAAAGTCGTTATATAGGACAATGATTTCTCACAAAAAAAGAAAACAATAAACCAAGTTTAACAGGCATAAGGAGGACAAAGGGACAGTGCCAAACACAACCAAAAATAAAACAAAAGTCAACTAATTATCCCATTAAACTCTTCCCCTAGAACTACATAATAAAGTAAACCTTCATCATCTAAGACGTCCTATCTTACAGCGCATTAACTGGGGCTCTTCTTAACTGCGTCATCGTACATCAGTCCATGTCCCGAATGATTGACATCCAACACAGCCAACCCACATATCCTAGAAATGTAAAAGGAAACCAGCAAAAGTGAAACAATAGACGTCATAGACGATTATGATTTGTCAGATTAAGGTCATTAAAAATCTGTTTATATTGTAGACTCTTAATCAGAGTATTGGTGTCCATGTAAATGTACTTACCGAGTTCAACTCAATCGGTTCGTAGTCTTGATTCAACAGTGCGATTCGCTCATGAGAGCAGAGAAACATTTCGGACATGTCAGGAAACCGTCCATTTGTTGATCAGTAGAGTTTATTGGCCTCCGTTCTGTCTGTACACTGCATGAACACACAACAGACGACGCAGGACAACACTGAAATCAGCCTGATTCTGAAAGCATAGTGCCATGGACCTTTCTGGAGACCTTGAATTATGTAGCCGGAGTTACGTTTGGCTGCATTTAATTTATGTGAACGCTGTGGGGTGGTATGACGCCACTCCTTACGGTGCTTAACAGCTGACTGCTTACCTCTGTGTGGAGGGCTTTCCCGCTGCAACCAGTTTGTCCAGTTTAGCTCGTCATGTACGTCGCAGACGACCGAAATCGAGTCCAGGGAAGAGCGGTTCCAGAAATCAGGGAAGACAAAAACAGAATCCCAAAAATAAATTGAAAGTGAATAACTGTGTGAGAATGTGGTGAAATCTGAAAACGTGGTGAAAATCAGACGAGGGCTTTTCTTTTTCTGGACAGCTTTTGTAAATCGTTGGTTGTGTTTAGGGAAGTGGGCGGGCGCGTCAATCAATTAAAATGGCTGGGTTTAGGGAAGGAGGAGGGTGGCTCTGTAGATTGGCCGGTCATCCAGTCAATCATTCAGTCTAGGGCTGCACGATATTGGAAAAAATTGACATTGCGATATTTTTTTTCCCTGCGATATATATTGCGATATTTTTTTATATATATACATAAGACTAGGGCTGTGACGGTCACCGTGACAACCTCGTCACCGCCGTGGTCAGTTGCCACCGCGGTTGTCCATTGCCACCGGCGGTAGTACGTGACGTCACGCACTTTAAAACACAAATTACTGTTATTTTGCCAAGTATTACATATCTGTTAGAATATAACATAAGGCGCGATTCAGCAAGTTCAACCATGAATCTTGTTAGAAAACGAAATCTTACATCTGGGAACATTTTGGATTCATGCCGACCGAGAAAGGTGAACGAAGTAATTTAGATTAAGCTTTTTGTAGGGGGGGTTTAAGTAAAGTGTGTTTTAATATTCACTGCTGAGTCCAAACACTGAAGAGCAAATCCATCGATACGCAGATCCACGTACGGGTCCCGAATCATGCAAGCCAGTGGCGATTGACGGCGAGGGAAAAAAGCCATGTAGGCTTAATCAACTCCTGTCTTCTAAACGCAGAAGCCCAGCTCAGCCAGGCATGGCAGAGGCATTTGCAGAAGCAAGAAACCCTCTCGCATGTCTGTGCATTTTCGCTACAAGCACACCGTCTGACAGTGTATTGCTGGAAACATTATAACCCCATTCCTCACTTAAACCGGACAAATTCAACATGTTAGTTTTTCTGGCAAATAATTAAAAATATGAATACAAAAGGGAACCTACGCTGTTTTTTTTAAACATCTGACTTATTGTTACTAGGTTAATATTTTCTTTCACTTATAATTAATAATATTTATATTATTATTACACTGATTAGTAAAGTGCCATTTAGACTATTTGTTAAGTTCTTAAAAATGTAACGTTTAATTGTTATTATACAGTTTCAAGCAGTTAAAGTTATTTAATATTTAACTACAATATTTATAAACAGTTTTGTGTTGTTTTATTAACGAAACTTCAAAAATAAACATGTACGTTTATACGGATGTTTTATTTATTAATATTTAATTAAGTTATTCCTTAATTTTTATATAAAAGGTAAATTGATTTAGGTAGGCTTTATTTGTTGATGTACGAGTTCGAGGAACATGTTTGCCAGTAAATAATGCTCTCACCACTTTAAAAAAAAAAAAAATAGATAAATAACTTGCGAAAAGGATGCAATAAAAAATGCAAGCGCTTAATCATTCTTCACAAACGGATTCGTACTTGCAATAAGCCGAGGCTATATTGCGCCGACAAGAACAAGCTCTAAAACAAAGTCTAGAGAGAGAATTAATATTAATGATTATAAACACGAACTGCGTTGTATGATAAACGCCTCACAATGTCGTGATCTTTTCTGAAGAACAGATAATCCATGTTGTCACCGTCTCCCCAGTCAGGTTTTCATCTGCTTTTTTTTTTCTTCTCGCTACAAACAATAAAATATCAGCGCCAGACCAGTGGTTTAAATTATATTTTACTCTCCTGATTATTTTTTTTTATTTAAAAACATAAATGTTTAAAGTTTTGTATTGCATATATATTTTTAAAGATTATCATTCAGCTTACCTGCAGCGAGAGGTTGTGTGCTGGGCAAATCCCCTTTACTCATGCTACCTATTTCATTTATGACACTGTAAACTTGACTTGGCAGGCTGATCATCTTTAACCTCAAGGTATTTTTAACTTCTGCATAATGTGATGTTTCTTATTACAACTGTTAGCGGTGTCAAAATGAAAGCAAACATTAAAAAGGGTTTTGTTTTATTAATTGTATAGTTTAGTTTTAATAATAATGTTTATAATAAATTATAATATTGATTATTGTGTAGACTACAGTGTCCAACAGAACATTGTTATAAGGTTACTCTAATGGACCTAATCCCTAACTGTAAAACGAATGTGAAATGACAGGCAGTTGCGTCTTTGCTAAAATTAATTTAACAACAATTTTCTTTTGCGTTTTTCCCCTTTAGAGATCAAGAGAGCTGTATTTAAACAATTATTTAACTAAAACATGAATTGAATGCCCAGTTCTTTCCCGTGTGAGTTTAGTGCGCCTCCGCCTCTGCGTTCAGAACATAAATTGATATTTAACCATATGAAAATGCATTGCAGTTATGAATGACGGGAGTGTTAGTAATTAATGACAGAAAGAACTTTCACTTTTGAGTGAACTTCTGTCACGTGTTATTTTAGTATGATAAAAAAAAAAAAATTTAACAAAAATAGTAATGCAGTATTTTTCGCTCTGCCAAGCCTCTGTTGCTGTGTGGAGCAGCAGCCTGCGTCAGTAACCTTTTACCCTGTCCCACCACGCCCCCCGACTCCTGAATGTCTCACTCACTCACGCGGGCATGCACTGCGGTCTCATGAGGAAAACGCAGCTTTTTGATATAATGTTTATCTTGTTCTAAATAAGTATTGGTAAAAACTCGCTATTCGTGCTTATCCCAATACCTTATTCGGGTTCGGCTAAACCCATAATATATGTATAATCTATATACTTTTTTTTTTTTTGCGTTGCATCGCACCTCCTGCGATGAGACTATCGCGGATGCGCACATCGAGATTTCGATGCTAAAACGATGTATCGTGCAGCCCTAATTCAGTCAGTCAGACACTCAGACAGACAGTCAGTCGACATCAGCCTCTGGTGGGTTACGCGAGAACAGCACGGTTGCGAATGGCACTTGCGAGAGACATTTGAGATGTGAAAAAGCACACAGCAGCCTCTCGTGGATTTGTGAAAACAAAAACTGCAATAACACGTACCTCCCGGGATGTATTTTACAGTCTGCAGAAACATCCATAGATTACGTTCTCAGAGTCGCATGAGTCAGCTCAAAATCACACTGTACGCTCGGCTTAACAGCTGAAAGCAGATGGCCTATGATTACATTTCTACTTGTGCTGTTTTTCTTTGAGCTGTCTTTTCCTTTCTTTATCACGATGACATGATCTGTCATCAAGTTACAGGTCCAACAGTAAATCTGAATCAAACAATCAAAATCCCGCACACACTAAGAGCTGATTTATACTGTGTCAAGCGTATGCGGATGTTACGTCGCAGCCTACACGTTGATGCATAGCCCTCGCTGTGGCCGTCGGCTGATGTGCACCTCTCAAATAAATTGAGCTACATGTCGCAACGATGCATAGCGCAAGCTCTGTGATTGGTCTGTTTGGTATCGCTGACGTGTGAGCCCGATAAGGGAGCTTCGGATGGATAGTTTTGTTTTGTGCTTACCTCATGGTTATAGTAGTTGCACATCCGCCGGTTCCTGTCTCTAAATGAACGAGTTTGAGCCACTTGTATATTGAGGAAGTGTTCAGAAAAAACAAAACACCAGCGAAGAAACCCGACACATAAACACCTCACTGCCAACTAGCCTTTCGGAAGTGTTATAGCAGAGCATCAGAAACAGTGCGCAGAAGTATAAATGCACAGCTATGCGTGTCGCATGTGTCGTGGGTCACACCTATCACTTGATGCAGAAATATAAACCAGGCCTAAGGTGTAAATTACAATGTGGGAAATTGTGATCAAAACTGTAGCCTTAGTTTACATCAGAACATCCCTCCAGAGTCACTGCTGTATTGACAGTGTCTTATCCACACACCATTACACAAGGACTCATCATTCTGACCCCACCGACCTGTTCACTGACACAGATTTCTGTTTTTGACTGATGAACTCAGGATTTTGAGCAAGAGAAGAGCAGATTTTCCAGCTTTAGCAAGTGATCCCTGATGTTTTGCTTGAGTAGTTTTGAGAAATGCACTTACTGTTTCTGCAAAGTTCAAGGATAATTCAAGAAATGTACCAAAGCGACTGAGGAAAACTGTAAGATATCTCTGAGAGGACCCAATCTACCCACTGAGACTCTGTTTTACATCGGGAAATGATTACAATGTAGATTTGCCAAACAGACTGAAAGAGCGACTCAAAGTAACGCTGGCGTACCTGCAGATACCTGAGCAGAACTATGCATTCGACTGCTAGAAACAAAGACGGGGAGCTAACTGATCTGGCACATGATGATTTGATCACAAACACAAGAGTCAATCTTTTATTGCTCCTTAAACGTGTAAAGCAGCTTGTGTTTTAGCATCTGTTTGGCTCATTTCTTAAATCCACACTCCTCGATATGAGCTCGTAATGATGACTACTGCCTACATAAAGCCACAGGGTTTAACCCACAAGATCAAACTGGCTTGAATGAGAACAAAAATAGAGCAGCATCTCCATCTAAACATTGTTGTGGTAAACTTGAGTTTTTTACATATACAGAGATAAACAAAACCCCCTACCACTGTACATCTGCATCTGCTCAATAATCATTACTGATTAAAAACCTGAACATCATCACAGGAACACATCGCATGTCTGCAGTATCTGCTGTGGAGATAACAGACAGCGCAGATGTACATCTACATGCAGTGTGTGTGTGTGTGTGTGTGTAATCTGTGTTTCACATGCAGTATGGAAAAAC